GAAAATTTAGTTAATTTTTTTTCTATTATTATAAATCAAGTAGTGTGATTTAATCAATCATTCGTGTGTTATTTTTCTATATAATTTATGTTATATTTAATTAATATAAGTCAATTACATTTAAATATTTAATTTACATTCTTTTATTATTTAATTAGATAAAAGTATTCTAAAATTTGAATTAATTAAAACTAATTGATTCAGATTTCTTTTTCCTTAAATTTAGACCAATCCAACCCATAAACATCTCTCCTATTCATTTAAAATTCAAATAATATTAATTATCATCTTTTTAATTATACTCTTATATCCTTCTAATATTTAAATATTTTACATCCTTCTCATAAATGGAAATAATAGTAATAGTTATGTTAAGACATTAAAGTTAGTCTTAATATAAATAGAGACATTAATTATATTTATTAAATTGTGCTCTATCTTTCAAAAAAAAATCCTTGCTTTTAGAAAAAATAAAAAACACTTTCAAATTAAGTATCAAAACAACAGCTGTAAAAAAAACATTTTACAACAGCTGTCAAGAATAAAAACAATTTTCAACATGCATAAAAGCAATTTAAGTATCAAACCATATTTTCTTTTGATTATGAAAAAAAACATATGCATTATTCTGAGACATGTTTTTTTAAACTCTTATAAAAGAATTGCTGAATGATTGATTAAGTGCAATTGAAAGTTGTAATAGTATTCACAAAGTTATATGGTTGAACTTTATTATTGTTACTGTAATAATCAATAACATTACTTATTCAATTTACACATTTTTTCAACTCCATTATAAAATAATTGCTATAGGATAATCAAGCGATTGAGAGTTAGAATAATATATAAAATTATATGTTGAAATTTTATTGGTGTTATTATAATATTTTTCTTGATAAAAAATTCTTTTATAAAAAATAAATCACTCTCTTTATTTTATTTTATTTGAAATTTAAAGATTTTGCATATGTATTGAGAAATGGAGTTAATATTTTAAATTTTATAAAAATCATTTTCTAACTTCTTAATATACTAATATTTTAATCTGTATATACATATTCATTATATCAATATAATTAAAATTTATAATAAATTATATATATTTTTAAGGGTAATAAATTATGTATAAAAAATTATGTTTGAATATATAAAATATATTTAAAATAAGTATATATAAATATTTTTAAATATATAAATTATATTTTAAATTTATAATAAATAATTTGCATTATAAAAAAAACATATTTTTATTTATTAATAATTTATTTTAAGACATTAATATTTAATTCATAAATAATTCTAATAAATAAAAATTAAATTATAAGAAGTTAAAAAAATTATAAATTTTTTGTTAAAGAAAAACTCTTAAAAGAATAGATATTTATATTTAATATATATGAATTTATTATTTATCTTTTATATGAATTATATTTTGTCCCATATATATAATATTTTAATTTATTCTCACTCAAAAATAAAATTTTAAGAATGTAAAATAAGAAAAATTTAATGTTTTACTGATATCATAGAAAAGATAATTAAAATGGATTTTTTCTTCACTAAGACGTCAAATAAATTTAAATGAAGGAAGTAACATTTAACAGTGAACACGAAGTATTTCCAATCAAGTAGTGAATATTCATTTAAGTAGTTAACCTCGTTTCACAAATACCTAAAATTTTAAACCTAATCTCATTTGGGAGAGATTCAATAAATAACACTAATTATTTTTTTTTTTGACTTTTTAATAAAAAATTTATTCTATTTTGATTATTATTTTATAATATAAAAAATTAAATATTAGGATTGTTGTAACGACCCGGCAGGCTACTACACTCACAATCACAGCACACCGGAAACACTAGACAGAATAGAACGAGTATATAAATATAGGATCTAGAATATAAATATATACAAATGTCCTAATCTGACTAGAGTTAGGGCGTACAATACAAAAATTACATCAAAAAGCCACTATGCCAAGTGACTGAAACAAACAAAACATCAAAAGAACTCAGCTCCACCTGTCAGCTACAGACTCACCACTGTCCACCACGTATCCCTGCTCTGCTCCCATTGATCATCACAGTCCAACCACATGGAAAACAAAAAGGGTAAGCTAGCATGAAAAGAAACCACATAAAATAAGATTTAAGTAACAAGAACAACTATAATTTATCAACACTTCATCAATATGTACCCCGTCAATCCTTACAATATAATTATCCATAACATACAATGCGTCGTCACGCATATCAACTCAGAGATCTCCTACAACAACTCAGTCTTTCGGCCTACAACAACTCAGTCGTTCGGCCTACAACAACTCAGCCTTTCGGCCTACAACAACTCAGCCATTATGGCCTACATCAACTCATCCAACAATCAACACAACTTTTCTACATTCAACACAATACAACTTTTAACAACACAATTAATTATAGATCAACATTATCAACAGTATTATCTACTAATCCTTACATCATATCCAACAATTTCAACTCACCTCTTCATAAAACAACCTTCTACAGCATATAGTGAATTGTCATCTCCGCGCCCGGCACACTCGTGGTTGCGCCCAGCGCGGCACAACCAGAGAGCATCAGGGACCAACACGCTCGGCGCAATACATATTGCGCCCGACGTGAGGGAAGGCAGAGACCTCACAGGATCTCACATGCCCGGCGTACGAACCCGCGCCCAGCGCAGGGTAGGCAGAGATTTTCTCCAAGTCTCACGCTCGGCGCAATATATATTGCGCCCAGCGCCACCTCTGGCAGAGACTCCCATGGAGTCTCCACGCTCGGCGAGACAAAGCCAAGCCCAGCGCCACACCAGAACCTCAAAACTTGAGTCATACACTGATATCGCGCCCAGCGCGGTTCCACCACGCCTAGCGAGGGCCATCTAGAGACTCACATCCTCAAGCCTGCCTGGCGCATTCACCATTGCGCCTGGCGTGCTTGCCTAAATGGAGTCTCTGATGGTCACGCGTCCGACGCGAAGAACTACGCCCGGCGTGATACCCAGCAGCAACCCTCAAACTTTCGAAAATCTCATCAAAACCTGCATACTAACTAGGAAATCCCACATGCAATCGGCCCAAAATACTGCATTTCCATCAAGCATCACGAAAAACCTCTCATTTCCAACATGCAACCATAGAATCAAGAAAACCCAAATTTTTGAAATGAAACCCCAAACTCCCTAAAAAAATCCATTTTTAGCAATCACCACCCAGAATCAACAACCATCAATCAGAAATTGAGTTTCTAGAACTCGTTTGCAACCAAAATCCACAAGAACTAGCTTCCCTTACCTCGGGCAAAGATTCCGAGTTTTGGGACAGCGAAAAGAGAGGAAATGGAGAAGAAAGCGAGATGACTCCGGTTCAGCTAGCTCCACCTACTCTATGATCAGCACCTTCCACTACAAGTCCACCACAAGGAATCAGAAATTTGAAAGGAATGGGGAGAAAAGAGAGCAAGAGTAGAGAGTGAGGGTTCGGGGGGAAAAGTAAAGGAAGAATAAAAGGAAAGTGGGTCTTACAGTTGTTATGCACTGAGGGTTACTACATACATACACATGTCTCCACGTTATCTATTTTGGGCCATGGTTTTGTTTTTGAATATCACGGTTTTATTTTTAGATACCACCCAAAAGGCCTCTCAATCAATATAGACAATTGTGTTTATATAAACCTATGTCCATCCTCTTATTTGAATGATGTGGAACTTTGCTTGTATCCTAACAAGGGTGGTTACAGATCCAAATTGATCTGAAAAATTGATTAATTGAAAATAACAAAATTCAGATTGTTCGGATAATTAGTTCAAATTGGATTAAAAAAAATCTAAATCTAAAAATTAAGATTAAATTACATATTTTAATGTTAAAAATTTAATCCAATTTAATACAATCGATCAATTATTACTTTCATTGTATGTAGTTATATGTTATTTTATATAAACAACAAAAATTAATAAAAAAATAAAAAATAAAAAATATTTTATATAAACAACAAAAATTTAAAAATAGATGAAAAATAATAATTTTATAAAATTAACCTTAGGATTAATATTTTTTTTAAAATAATATAAAACAATAATTATTTTTCAAATAATATTATTAGGACTATAAATGAAAAAAAATAATTAATATTACATTAAAAAATAATATAACACTTATTTTGAGAGTTATTTTTTTTTTCTTTTAACATGAATATTTAATATGAGACAAAAAATTATTATTTTTTTAATATATTTTTATAAGGATTTTAGTATAAAAAATGGTTTAGAATTTGGATTAAAAATCCAATTAATCCTTTCACTTATTCTTAATATTATAACACTTCAATCGATAGTTCATATCTCATACATATTTCTATCATTTTATATACTTCTATTTCGCTATCACTTTGTAAGAATTAGAGTTAAAGTGTATATCTTCAACAATTATCCATGCTACATGAGAACAAATGTAATAATTATTTAATTTTTATTTGATAAGTCCAATGATTTAATTCAAACCAGTCTAATTATAGTGAGATTGATTTGGTTTAGATTGCAATTTTTTATATATAAAATTTTTGATTCAAATCGATCTAATTAAATTTAATTAACTTAGATAAAAATAGTATAAATTTAATCCAAACTAATCCATAACCATTCCTATTAAATATAATTTTCCTATTATTCATAATTATTTATTTTAGAGTGAGAAAACATATTAAAAAATGATTATAAAGGTGAGAGAAATTAATGAATATGAAAGATAAAGTGTGATATAAAAAGCATAACAACTGTTATAAAATCCAAAAAATTAATTAATATTTTAATATATGCAGATAAATCTTAAACCTGTAATAAATTTAGTAAAGAATGAATGATGTGATGAAAAATGAGTTAAAGTGTATGGGATTACCATTTCTGTTAGAAGACCTAATTGTGTACCAACAATACAAGACCATATTATAAAAATAAACATAGTATTATCATTAAGACATATGTTACTACCACTATGAGCATAGTACAACGTGGGGTGTGAAAGTAGCAACACACACACACACACGATGAGAGGAAGAAGAAGAGAGAGAGCTGAGAAAACGTTTAAAACGACACACAGATTCAGAATTCAATGAAATTGAATTGAAGATCCATCTTCATAGTCAACTTGGTCTCACTCTCCCAACGCCAAATTACCCTTTTGCCCTTCGCTCTTTGCCTTCTTTTCCTTTGACTCGGCCCTCTCTCTACGCCGCAATGGACGCCGGCGAAGCCCTCTCCGACGATCCGAATGGGTCCAGGCCCAATTCCGCCGCCGACGGAGCTCCGGCCACCGGCGGGGCGAGGTACAAGCTCATGTCGCCGGCCAAGCTCCCGATCTCGCGGTCGCCGTGCGTCACGATTCCGCCGGGGCTCAGTCCGACGTCGTTTCTGGAGTCGCCGGTGCTGCTCTCCAACATGAAGGTTAGTTGATAGTTAGTAAATGGCTTCACTTTTTTCAATTTCTAGGGTTTCTTATTTTTTGGGGCTGGTTCGGGTTTGATCCGTTGGGTTGCTCAGGAAAAGAATAAAGGAAATGGGTTAGTGAATTCGTTGGCAAAATGTGATTTTTTTTTTCGGTGCTTTTTATTTTTTATTTTTATTTTTTTTTCTGTTGAACTTGGTCAAAGGTGAGTTTTAATTAAATGTTTTTGCTTGACCCCGAGTGAGTTGAAGTCCACCTGGTGTGAGTGGTGTATAAAAAATTTGTTCTTTTCGGTGTGATTTTCACGAGGGCATCAAAATGGAGCATATGGGGCAGTATTATGCTTTGTAAATTGGAAGGAATAATTTTTTTAAGAAATGACGAGTTTTAAATGTTGATGAATTGAAGATGCCGTGTTTGATGGAAAATTCGATTTGAGTGTGTGACAGCGAGTATATGTTCTTATTTAATCTGGTGGCTAAGGCTGATTTTGTTGTGCTTGTTTATTATTTAATTTAGTTTTGGTATTTAGGGTTGGCCCATTTTGGTGTTGGATATTTTTTCACTTGATGGATTTTATCATATGGTTGGTTTGTGTTGGGACCCTGAGATTCTGATGCTTGCTCTAATTGAATTCTGTATTTTCTGCTTTATGCTCAATATGTGTTGGAATATGGCTTTCTCTTAGGATCGCTCAACATTCTCATTTTCTTTTGCGTCAGTGTTGTTTTTTCACATACTGAATCTTCCTTTTGAGTCGGTGCTTTCTCTTTTTGTTTTCAACGGTGTGGTTTTACTGGAAATTCTTTTCTTTTTCCCTATTTATATGTGTGGAACAAGAGAATAAATGCATTGCCAAGGCCCAAGGATTAGTGGATCCATTTTAGTTCTGTGGCATGACGTGGGAATAGTATGAGGAATGTCAGAAAGATTGTGGGTCATGATTTGTATTTTGTGAAAGTACATGATTTTCTTGATGTAATAGTGTGAGTGGTCCTTATTTGTGCAGTGTGTTGTGCTAGATTATCGTTGGAATGGCTTTTCTGGGTTGTGTTTATATAACTAACACATATCATGATGACTCTAAATGAACACCATGCAATGTTATCGTGAAGAGGAAATTATGAACTTTTGCCTTTGCTCAATTACAATGGGGTTTTCTGCATAAGTAGCTAATAAATCTGCTCGTTTGTGTGGTTAACTCAGATGATTGTGTATGTACTTTCTTTCTGATGTTATTTTTCATGGTCCATTTGCCACTGTGTATTCCGAAACTTCCTGTTATTATGCCCCTTTCTTGTTCTCTCTTTTTCCATTTTTTTCTCTGAGAAATTAAATTTTCCAAGTATATATGTTTATAATTGATTTTATGTTTGTTCTTTTGATTGAGCAATTCGCAACTTATAGGGCTGTAGATTATATATTGCTTTCTCTCATACCTTGCACTCTTGCAGGTGGAACCTTCACCGACTACAGGATCCCTTTCTATGCTTCATCAAACTGCACATGGTTCCGTGACTTCTGCTGCATCTGCTACATTTCCTGTAACCACTGCATGCTTCAATAGCAATACTGTTGATGACAGAAAACCCAGCTTCTTTGAGTTTAAACCACACAGTAGATCAAATATGGTAATGATATACTTGATCTTACTTCTAGTAAAAATGAGGAATATAAACTTATGACTAAGGTGGACATGTGGACTGGACTTTGATGTCTTTCTCCTTAATTATATCTGGCCATAACCTGTGTACTAAGTTAAAATGATAGGATAAGTAATTAAATATATTGCTTTAACATCACTTTGTCGTTGTCAACTGTAATACTAGACTTAACTTTGAAGATAACTTGGTTGCCTGGACTTAACTTCGATGTTTTCTCCATAATCATACATTACCGTAACCTGTGTACTAAGTTAAAAAGATATGATAATTAGTTAAATATATTGCAATGTTAACTGCAACCAGATTTGGTTGTCATGTTCCCATTTTTGATTAATGTTGTTTTGAAGATTTAAGATTATTGGTTGTGTGGTACTTACGCTATGCTATTCACTTATTTAAAGGTTCCTGCAGACTCTGACAACCATGCAAGTGAAAAATCTACTCAAATAGATGGTCAAGGAAAAACTCAAGCTTTTGACTCATCACCATTTGTAAAAAATGAGATAGCAGACCCTTCAAATGAATTAAGTCTATCATCACCAGTTCAAATGGTTAGCTCAGGAGCTGGTGCACGTGTTGAAGGTGATTTGGATGAATTGAACCCTAGGAGCAACATAGCAACTGGGCTTCAAGCATCACAAGTTGACAATAGGGGTAGTGGACTTTCAGCTGCAGCTGATAGAGTATCTGATGATGGATATAACTGGAGAAAATATGGGCAAAAACATGTTAAAGGAAGTGAATTTCCACGCAGTTATTACAAATGTACTCATCCTAACTGTGAAGTTAAGAAACTATTTGAACGCTCTCACGATGGGCAAATCACCGAAATCATTTATAAGGGGACACATGATCATCCTAAACCTCAACCTAACCGCCGTTACTCTTCTGGAACTATGATGTCTATGCAAGAAGAGAGATCTGAGAAAGCTTTGACTGGCCGAGATGGTAATACCTGCATGATGCTTCTTATTGTTTCCATTTTATTCCTATTTGCTGTAACCAAATAATGTGGCTTTCTTTTTCTTCTAATTCTTGATTTGTAGACAAAGGATCCAATATATGTGGCCAGATGTCTCACCCAGCTGATCCTGACAGTACTCCAGAGCTATCCCCTGTAGCAACAAATGATGGTGATCTAGAGGGTACAGGGTTTTTGTCAAACCGGAATACTGATGAGGTTGATGATGATGATCCCTTCTCAAAGCGAAGGTTTGCCAACTTAGGCGATAGCTCTAGGTTTCTTTCTGCTGCTTTTTTATACTTGCTGTTGATCACAAGATTTTTATTGATCAGAAAAATGGACCTTGGAAATGCTGACATCACTCCTGTGGTTAAGCCTATCCGGGAGCCACGGGTTGTTGTGCAAACACTAAGTGAGGTTGATATATTGGATGATGGTTACCGCTGGCGCAAGTATGGGCAGAAGGTGGTGAGAGGCAATCCTAACCCTAGGTATGTCCTCTAATTGATGGGTATACAACATAAGCAAAATTGGCAATATCCAAATTAAGTTAGAAAAAATGTTCTTTATCAAAGGCTTTTTGGCATGTATGTTGTTGAACTATTCTTGTCTTCTGCTTACTGTCAAGAAGGCCGAGACAACCTCCAACATCATCCTCTCAGGAGTGGTGTATTATAATATATTCTATAATAGGAAAGAGAGTAGTTTCTTTAATATATTCTGAAATGGTGTATATTCTAAATGAATCTTTCGCTTATACAAAATTTATTCCAAAGCAGTTCTAATATTTCATTCCGGCAATTATGTTCTGTTTCTAACTTCAAATATGAAAGGATTGCCAGGTTACATGAGGTAGTAGGATGTTGACGTAAGGGATATTGCTGTTATGTACCAGCATAGTATTTACATTAAGGAAAGTTAGTGATGGTGGGTTAAAAAGGATTTGTAACCATCAAATAAATTACTTTTAAGCAAGTTGATATTAAAAACATTATTGCTAAGAATGTGTAAAGAAATGTCAATAGAGAGGTTCATGTGACACTAGACTGTTAGATACTTAGATATCAATAAAGTGTGGAAGAATATGTGTTGCTCCTGTGCTCCCAGAGGAAATATATCAAAGTATGGTCATGATTGTAATTGTAGACTAATAGTGAGTTACAAGGCAATTTAGGGGAAAAGGAAGGGCAGTTTGATATCCACTGATTTGCATGATTGAAGGCTTTATACCAATTGATGATTATCAAGATTTTAGGATTTATCTGTGTTGTAAAGTTTTTTCTTTCACTGTATGCCATCATTTTAGCCAAATATATAGTAGTTCTTTTCGAGGCCAAGATATTGGAACCGAACTATCAGCTGCAGTTTTGTCTAGACTAAAAATTTGCATTCCTTATAAGCATGTGCCTCCTTTGCGCTTTGAGGATTCCGCTTTAGTATTTACTATTTAGTTCCTTGCCTGACCCAAAGCATGAAATGAAAATGAAATGTGTACACAAACCTTGATGAGGTTGGCAGTTGGCTGATGTCTGAGTATGACCTTTATTTTTTGGCACTTGACAACAATGTGGTGCTACACATTTTTTTGGATAAAACTTGTTTCTTACAACACTCACTTTATTATTCAGGAGTTATTACAAATGCACGAACTCAGGAGAGACTCACATCCTCAAGCCCGCCTGGCGCATTCACCATTGCGCCTGGCGTGCTTGCCTAAATGGAGTCTCTGATGGTCACGCGTCCGGCGCGAAGAACTACGCCCGGCGTGATACCCAGCAGCAACCCTCAAACTTTCGAAAATCTCATCAAAACCTGCATACTAACTAGGAAATCCCACATGCAATCGGCCCAAAATACTGCATTTCCATCAAGCATCACGAAAAACCTCTCATTTCCAACATGCAACCATAGAATCAAGAAAACCCAAATTTTTGAAATGAAACCCCAAACTCCCTAAAAAAATCCATTTTTAGCAATCACCACCCAGAATCAACAACCATCAATCAGAAATTGAGTTTCTAGAACTCGTTTGCAACCAAAATCCACAAGAACTAGCTTCCCTTACCTCGGGCAAAGATTCCGAGTTTTGGGACAGCGAAAAGAGAGGAAATGGAGAAGAAAGCGAGATGACTCCGGTTCAGCTAGCTCCACCTACTCTATGATCAGCACCTTCCACTACAAGTCCACCACAAGGAATCAGAAATTTGAAAGGAATGGGGAGAAAAGAGAGCAAGAGTAGAGAGTGAGGGTTCGGGGGGAAAAGTAAAGGAAGAATAAAAGGAAAGTGGGTCTTACAGTTGTTATGCACTGAGGGTTACTACATACATACACATGTCTCCACGTTATCTATTTTGGGCCATGGTTTTGTTTTTGAATATCACGGTTTTATTTTTAGATACCACCCAAAAGGCCTCTCAATCAATATAGACAATTGTGTTTATATAAACCTATGTCCATCCTCTTATTTGAATGATGTGGAACTTTGCTTGTATCCTAACAAGGGTGGTTACAGATCCAAATTGATCTGAAAAATTGATTAATTGAAAATAACAAAATTCAGATTGTTCGGATAATTAGTTCAAATTGGATTAAAAAAAATCTAAATCTAAAAATTAAGATTAAATTACATATTTTAATGTTAAAAATTTAATCCAATTTAATACAATCGATCAATTATTACTTTCATTGTATGTAGTTATATGTTATTTTATATAAACAACAAAAATTAATAAAAAAATAAAAAATAAAAAATATTTTATATAAACAACAAAAATTTAAAAATAGATGAAAAATAATAATTTTATAAAATTAACCTTAGGATTAATATTTTTTTTAAAATAATATAAAACAATAATTATTTTTCAAATAATATTATTAGGACTATAAATGAAAAAAAATAATTAATATTACATTAAAAAATAATATAACACTTATTTTGAGAGTTATTTTTTTTTTCTTTTAACATGAATATTTAATATGAGACAAAAAATTATTATTTTTTTAATATATTTTTATAAGGATTTTAGTATAAAAAATGGTTTAGAATTTGGATTAAAAATCCAATTAATCCTTTCACTTATTCTTAATATTATAACACTTCAATCGATAGTTCATATCTCATACATATTTCTATCATTTTATATACTTCTATTTCGCTATCACTTTGTAAGAATTAGAGTTAAAGTGTATATCTTCAACAATTATCCATGCTACATGAGAACAAATGTAATAATTATTTAATTTTTATTTGATAAGTCCAATGATTTAATTCAAACCAGTCTAATTATAGTGAGATTGATTTGGTTTAGATTGCAATTTTTTATATATAAAATTTTTGATTCAAATCGATCTAATTAAATTTAATTAACTTAGATAAAAATAGTATAAATTTAATCCAAACTAATCCATAACCATTCCTATTAAATATAATTTTCCTATTATTCATAATTATTTATTTTAGAGTGAGAAAACATATTAAAAAATGATTATAAAGGTGAGAGAAATTAATGAATATGAAAGATAAAGTGTGATATAAAAAGCATAACAACTGTTATAAAATCCAAAAAATTAATTAATATTTTAATATATGCAGATAAATCTTAAACCTGTAATAAATTTAGTAAAGAATGAATGATGTGATGAAAAATGAGTTAAAGTGTATGGGATTACCATTTCTGTTAGAAGACCTAATTGTGTACCAACAATACAAGACCATATTATAAAAATAAACATAGTATTATCATTAAGACATATGTTACTACCACTATGAGCATAGTACAACGTGGGGTGTGAAAGTAGCAACACACACACACACACGATGAGAGGAAGAAGAAGAGAGAGAGCTGAGAAAACGTTTAAAACGACACACAGATTCAGAATTCAATGAAATTGAATTGAAGATCCATCTTCATAGTCAACTTGGTCTCACTCTCCCAACGCCAAATTACCCTTTTGCCCTTCGCTCTTTGCCTTCTTTTCCTTTGACTCGGCCCTCTCTCTACGCCGCAATGGACGCCGGCGAAGCCCTCTCCGACGATCCGAATGGGTCCAGGCCCAATTCCGCCGCCGACGGAGCTCCGGCCACCGGCGGGGCGAGGTACAAGCTCATGTCGCCGGCCAAGCTCCCGATCTCGCGGTCGCCGTGCGTCACGATTCCGCCGGGGCTCAGTCCGACGTCGTTTCTGGAGTCGCCGGTGCTGCTCTCCAACATGAAGGTTAGTTGATAGTTAGTAAATGGCTTCACTTTTTTCAATTTCTAGGGTTTCTTATTTTTTGGGGCTGGTTCGGGTTTGATCCGTTGGGTTGCTCAGGAAAAGAATAAAGGAAATGGGTTAGTGAATTCGTTGGCAAAATGTGATTTTTTTTTTCGGTGCTTTTTATTTTTTATTTTTATTTTTTTTTCTGTTGAACTTGGTCAAAGGTGAGTTTTAATTAAATGTTTTTGCTTGACCCCGAGTGAGTTGAAGTCCACCTGGTGTGAGTGGTGTATAAAAAATTTGTTCTTTTCGGTGTGATTTTCACGAGGGCATCAAAATGGAGCATATGGGGCAGTATTATGCTTTGTAAATTGGAAGGAATAATTTTTTTAAGAAATGACGAGTTTTAAATGTTGATGAATTGAAGATGCCGTGTTTGATGGAAAATTCGATTTGAGTGTGTGACAGCGAGTATATGTTCTTATTTAATCTGGTGGCTAAGGCTGATTTTGTTGTGCTTGTTTATTATTTAATTTAGTTTTGGTATTTAGGGTTGGCCCATTTTGGTGTTGGATATTTTTTCACTTGATGGATTTTATCATATGGTTGGTTTGTGTTGGGACCCTGAGATTCTGATGCTTGCTCTAATTGAATTCTGTATTTTCTGCTTTATGCTCAATATGTGTTGGAATATGGCTTTCTCTTAGGATCGCTCAACATTCTCATTTTCTTTTGCGTCAGTGTTGTTTTTTCACATACTGAATCTTCCTTTTGAGTCGGTGCTTTCTCTTTTTGTTTTCAACGGTGTGGTTTTACTGGAAATTCTTTTCTTTTTCCCTATTTATATGTGTGGAACAAGAGAATAAATGCATTGCCAAGGCCCAAGGATTAGTGGATCCATTTTAGTTCTGTGGCATGACGTGGGAATAGTATGAGGAATGTCAGAAAGATTGTGGGTCATGATTTGTATTTTGTGAAAGTACATGATTTTCTTGATGTAATAGTGTGAGTGGTCCTTATTTGTGCAGTGTGTTGTGCTAGATTATCGTTGGAATGGCTTTTCTGGGTTGTGTTTATATAACTAACACATATCATGATGACTCTAAATGAACACCATGCAATGTTATCGTGAAGAGGAAATTATGAACTTTTGCCTTTGCTCAATTACAATGGGGTTTTCTGCATAAGTAGCTAATAAATCTGCTCGTTTGTGTGGTTAACTCAGATGATTGTGTATGTACTTTCTTTCTGATGTTATTTTTCATGGTCCATTTGCCACTGTGTATTCCGAAACTTCCTGTTATTATGCCCCTTTCTTGTTCTCTCTTTTTCCATTTTTTTCTCTGAGAAATTAAATTTTCCAAGTATATATGTTTATAATTGATTTTATGTTTGTTCTTTTGATTGAGCAATTCGCAACTTATAGGGCTGTAGATTATATATTGCTTTCTCTCATACCTTGCACTCTTGCAGGTGGAACCTTCACCGACTACAGGATCCCTTTCTATGCTTCATCAAACTGCACATGGTTCCGTGACTTCTGCTGCATCTGCTACATTTCCTGTAACCACTGCATGCTTCAATAGCAATACTGTTGATGACAGAAAACCCAGCTTCTTTGAGTTTAAACCACACAGTAGATCAAATATGGTAATGATATACTTGATCTTACTTCTAGTAAAAATGAGGAATATAAACTTATGACTAAGGTGGACATGTGGACTGGACTTTGATGTCTTTCTCCTTAATTATATCTGGCCATAACCTGTGTACTAAGTTAAAATGATAGGATAAGTAATTAAATATATTGCTTTAACATCACTTTGTCGTTGTCAACTGTAATACTAGACTTAACTTTGAAGATAACTTGGTTGCCTGGACTTAACTTCGATGTTTTCTCCATAATCATACATTACCGTAACCTGTGTACTAAGTTAAAAAGATATGATAATTAGTTAAATATATTGCAATGTTAACTGCAACCAGATTTGGTTGTCATGTTCCCATTTTTGATTAATGTTGTTTTGAAGATTTAAGATTATTGGTTGTGTGGTACTTACGCTATGCTATTCACTTATTTAAAGGTTCCTGCAGACTCTGACAACCATGCAAGTGAAAAATCTACTCAAATAGATGGTCAAGGAAAAACTCAAGCTTTTGACTCATCACCATTTGTAAAAAATGAGATAGCAGACCCTTCAAATGAATTAAGTCTATCATCACCAGTTCAAATGGTTAGCTCAGGAGCTGGTGCACGTGTTGAAGGTGATTTGGATGAATTGAACCCTAGGAGCAACATAGCAACTGGGCTTCAAGCATCACAAGTTGACAATAGGGGTAGTGGACTTTCAGCTGCAGCTGATAGAGTATCTGATGATGGATATAACTGGAGAAAATATGGGCAAAAACATGTTAAAGGAAGTGAATTTCCACGCAGTTATTACAAATGTACTCATCCTAACTGTGAAGTTAAGAAACTATTTGAACGCTCTCACGATGGGCAAATCACCGAAATCATTTATAAGGGGACACATGATCATCCTAAACCTCAACCTAACCGCCGTTACTCTTCTGGAACTATGATGTCTATGCAAGAAGAGAGATCTGAGAAAGCTTTGACTGGCCGAGATGGTAATACCTGCATGATGCTTCTTATTGTTTCCATTTTATTCCTATTTGCTGTAACCAAATAATGTGGCTTTCTTTTTCTTCTAATTCTTGATTTGTAGACAAAGGATCCAATATATGTGGCCAGATGTCTCACCCAGCTGATCCTGACAGTACTCCAGAGCTATCCCCTGTAGCAACAAATGATGGTGATCTAGAGGGTACAGGGTTTTTGTCAAACCGGAATACTGATGAGGTTGATGATGATGATCCCTTCTCAAAGCGAAGGTTTGCCAACTTAGGCGATAGCTCTAGGTTTCTTTCTGCTGCTTTTTTATACTTGCTGTTGATCACAAGATTTTTATTGATCAGAAAAATGGACCTTGGAAATGCTGACATCACTCCTGTGGTTAAGCCTATCCGGGAGCCACGGGTTGTTGTGCAAACACTAAGTGAGGTTGATATATTGGATGATGGTTACCGCTGGCGCAAGTATGGGCAGAAGGTGGTGAGAGGCAATCCTAACCCTAGGTATGTCCTCTAATTGATGGGTATACAACATAAGCAAAATTGGCAATATCCAAATTAAGTTAGAAAAAATGTTCTTTATCAAAGGCTTTTTGGCATGTATGTTGTTGAACTATTCTTGTCTTCTGCTTACTGTCAAGAAGGCCGAGACAACCTCCAACATCATCCTCTCAGGAGTGGTGTATTATAATATATTCTATAATAGGAAAGAGAGTAGTTTCTTTAATATATTCTGAAATGGTGTATATTCTAAATGAATCTTTCGCTTATACAAAATTTATTCCAAAGCAGTTCTAATATTTCATTCCGGCAATTATGTTCTGTTTCTAACTTCAAATATGAAAGGATTGCCAGGTTACATGAGGTAGTAGGATGTTGACGTAAGGGATATTGCTGTTATGTACCAGCATAGTATTTACATTAAGGAAAGTTAGTGATGGTGGGTTAAAAAGGATTTGTAACCATCAAATAAATTACTTTTAAGCAAGTTGATATTAAAAACATTATTGCTAAGAATGTGTAAAGAAATGTCAATAGAGAGGTTCATGTGACACTAGACTGTTAGATACTTAGATATCAATAAAGTGTGGAAGAATATGTGTTGCTCCTGTGCTCCCAGAGGAAATATATCAAAGTATGGTCATGATTGTAATTGTAGACTAATAGTGAGTTACAAGGCAATTTAGGGGAAAAGGAAGGGCAGTTTGATATCCACTGATTTGCATGATTGAAGGCTTTATACCAATTGATGATTATCAAGATTTTAGGATTTATCTGTGTTGTAAAGTTTTTTCTTTCACTGTATGCCATCATTTTAGCCAAATATATAGTAGTTCTTTTCGAGGCCAAGATATTGGAACCGAACTATCAGCTGCAGTTTTGTCTAGACTAAAAATTTGCATTCCTTATAAGCATGTGCCTCCTTTGCGCTTTGAGGATTCCGCTTTAGTATTTACTATTTAGTTCCTTGCCTGACCCAAAGCATGAAATGAAAATGAAATGTGTACACAAACCTTGATGAGGTTGGCAGTTGGCTGATGTCTGAGTATGACCTTTATTTTTTGGCACTTGACAACAATGTGGTGCTACACATTTTTTTGGATAAAACTTGTTTCTTACAACACTCACTTTATTATTCAGGAGTTATTACAAATGCACGAACTCAGGTTGCCCCGTCAGAAAACATGTGGAGAGGGCATCTCATGATCCAAAAGCTGTAATTACCACATATGAGGGGAAACACAATCATGATGTACCAACTGCAAGGAATAGTTGCCATGACATGGCAAGACCAGCAAGTGCAGGTGGACAGACAAGAACCAGGCCAGAAGAAAGTGATACCATCAGCCTTGACCTTGGGATGGGAATCAGTCCAACTGCAGAAAACACATCAAACAACCAAGGCAGAATGATGCTTTCTGAATTTGGGGGCAACCAAACTCACCCCAGCAATTCCAATTTCAAGTTTGTTCATACTACTACGGCGCCGGCATACTTTGGTGTTCTAAGTAACAACTCTAATCCATATGGTTCTAGAGAAAATACAAGTGATAGTCCATCTTTAAACCATTCTGCTTATCCTTGCCCGCAGAACATGGGGAGAATACTAATGGGTCCTTAAAATTGTTTGCACATCACAAATAAAATGAGTTACATTTTGCCTTTTCTTTTTTGGCGGGTAAAGCTTTAAAGGCATAGCTCCTCATTTTCTCTTTGGAAATGCTGATAGTTTATGTTCATATCCTTGTATGATGGGAGCTGCTCTTTGGTAGAATTAGTAGTAGCTGTGTCCCTTCAGGTTGACTCTCAAGGCTAATCGCTGTTTGTAAAATTATATACAGATTCTTCTGTACAAATATGAAGCTTATATCAAAGTTGCTTCAACAAAAACCCTTGTAAAAGTGTCTGGATTCAAGTATTTATAAGTAGCTTCTAGCCTGTTCCTGAACCCTTGGATTTTATTCCATAGGATTACTGTAAATTCATGATAGCCAAGTTCCTCAGCCTTGGTTACTAGGCAAACATACTCTGCATGTACACGTTTGATTTATTGGGTTTGATATTAGTGAAATTGGAAGGCAAGAGTTAACACTGAATTTTTACACGTTAGATTTTTTGTGCATGCTACGTATGTGAAACAAAAAACTTATAAGTCTCGGTTATTGAATAAAACTTGAATCTACAGGTTAAGTTCAGATGCGATAAATAAATAGCACATGTTGTGGAAAAGCAATTGCGACCGCAACTTTTACTTTACTTTTCCCCAAGAAAAAAAAATGGATTTTCCTTGTTTGAATTCTTTCATTTGCCCCAAATATATGTAAATGTAAAAAAAAAAAAAATTGAGAGATAGACTTTTTTTTTAATCACTATTTATATGAAGTATTTATAGTTAAAAGTAATAATTAATCTTTGTTAAAAATCGTAAATGTAATTTTTTCTTCTTCTTCTAATATGATGTATTTCATATTCCATGTTTTTAAACAACAAAAAAATGCTATTATTTGTGCCTACAAACGTAGGCAATGACACAACTCTTTTATGTCAAAAAGGTTAGAACAATGTTTCAGTGTCATTGATTTTGTGGGGCAAGTTTTCAGACCAACGGTGCAGTCGGTAAGAGTAGATATCTTGTGTCTTGTTTTAAAATACTTTGTGACTAAAGCATTGTTGGCTTCTAGCCCAAATTGCTATTATAAAAGGCATGAAATGTTGCAACTAAATTTAAATCAACTGAATACAGTAGACACTAGCACTGTTGAAATCTGCATTCTTCTATTTAAATCAAATAGTCAAGAGTGTCTCAGACACAAGTCTGTGCTGTTTTGTTTTTTGTGATCGAGAAATCTCGGTACTCTAGGGGACAACTATTTTGACTAAAAGCCATTTCTTTGTCTTTGTGATCAATATTTCAATCCACACGCGCTTTGCTTACTAGGAAGCCAGAAACATACAGCACCGAAATAGTTAAGTTTCAGAAAAGTGGAATATGATGAGATTGAGAGGCAATGAGTCAATGATCATACAGTGGAGAATCTGACTACCGTACAGTTATTTCTAGACCCAACAACACGGTTTCACGGTAAACTATTCCCTTTTCCTATTTTCATTAACCCAACATAACATTTCAGACTTCAAAGCTCACAATATACATGATGGAATCTTGTATTAGCTTTAAATTTTAACTTTTGGGTTTGACTCACCTTAACTCAGCTGCATAGAGCCTGCAAAACTCACCTTACTCGAATGTTTTGGTAGAGTTAGAATAATTCCCAACCTGTTGAAATATTGTATCTTTATCAAAAAGGTTTAATTTTCATGTACTTTTACATGAAAATTTATACCGTTAACCGATAAAAAGTTATATTAAGTATGATTTTTGAAATAGTTATAATAAAAGTCAACAAATTTAACATTTAATGTATATGATAATTTTTTATTTGATTATTGTTTACTACATCTTAACCCAACGTATTAAGAACATTAAATTTATAATTTTTTTTTCACTTATATATGGTTTAACATTCTAATGTCTATTTAATGTATAACTTTTTATTCACACTTACAAACCATTAGAATTGTGGTTTACTTAACTAGAAGTATTGTAGTTAACTCAACTAGAAAGTCCGGGTCATGCAACAGAATATTAAGAAGAAACAATTAGCTCTGTACACATCCTTGAAACAGTTTTTATCCTTGTCCTCACTAATTGCGTTGCAAACTAGTTCTTTGTCATTGCAAAACTTCGACAGCAGTCAGTATAGGAGACCTCCACAACATATGGTTCTATGGCGAGACAATGACTCCAAAGGACATTTACAAAGAGTGCGTATGAATCCTGTTTAGATAAATTTCTTCAAAAATACTTATAAGAGAAAAAAAATAAAAATAAAATGTAATTCATTTTTTTTATAAATTAAAATTAATTCCTTCTTTTTTTTTTTTTTTTTCCTGCAAGTATTTTTAGAAAAATTTATCTACACAGATATATAGATAATAACTTCCATGCTTTGCATTTATAATTTGACAATATTCTTTTTATCTTTGGTAAGCATTACAAGTTCTGAAATACATCTTAGAGACAATTTCAGAATATAGTCTTTCTTGATATTACTTGTATTGCTAACATAAAATTAAGAAAGCTCTCTTACATAACAGTAATTGACTATGAAGTGAAGAGAAGTTCTATAAAGAAGTTAAGGATGATATATAACCTAACTAAAAGCCTGGAGTAACAAAAATGAACCAACTGTTATCGAATTTTCATCTCCAAGCACAAGAGGCAATAAGAACTTGATTCATCCAACCAAGAAATAGTGCACCATCTCTCTCTTCCAGAGTGTAGTGTCCATGATAGCTCTGCAGAAGATCCTTGATTGAAGAATTAATAACGGAGCTCAATGGATAAGGTGTAAACCCAGCCATTGTGAAACGCTTTCTCCACTTATTCAGTAGCTCATGGCGTTCAACTCTTTCTTCTCCCTCACATGCTATCAAGTTGACTACTTCACGTGCCAAGCAGTGCTGCTCCACATTGATCCTCTCTTTGTGCTCCCTTGGAAGAACAGCATCAACTGATTCAAAAATGGCCAGGTAGTAGTTCATCGTCTCAACGAAACGCTGCAAGAATGGTGTGTTGTTGGTGTTGAATTCTTGCTCAACCAGAGTCACCACCTTGGGAGACAGGTGCTTTGCCAGTCTCAGCAACCGATCGCGATGATTGTGACTGTTCACACTCTCATCTGGCACATGATGCAGCATTATGGAAAAATTCACAGCCAAAGCTTCATAAGGGCGAAGTTCAAGGTCTTCAAGTTGCACCTGAGAGGCAGGTACTCTCACAGCATTGAACTCAAAGGGTACATGACATGACTCTGCAAGCGCTGATAACCTTTTCCCAACAATATCAAGCCCTCCTCCTCTGGCATAAGAGGAAAAGGAGTCATCCACTCCTGATATTCTGATCTTTGGCGGCCCTCCAGGCCGCCGAGCAAGAGCCTGAATTAGGCTCACCCATTGAGTTCCTTGGCTAATCTGAAAGTCAATTATGTGGACTTCATTTTCCTCCTTCAGAGCTTCAGCAATTGCTCCATTTGCTGACATGTACCCAAACTTGAAGTATGGACAAATTTCATATAGTACATGCATGTATGAAAGTAGTTCATTACCAGTAGGCTCACTGCATTTCAAGGATTTGTAGATTGTGCTTCCTGAAGCAGACATCCTTGCCACAAGAGACTCCAACATGTATGCTCCCAACCGTTGCATCGGGTTGCCCGAAATGGACACCATCTTACGCAACTCTGACATCAGCCATTCAGTTGTCTCCATATCATTCACAGCCATTGCTCTTGCACAAGTATAAAGCATCTCTTTCAAATCCCCTCTAGATGCCATCTCCATCAATTTCTTCCACTTCTCTGCCTCTAACAACAATGAATCAGGCTCTTCTGGAATTACAGCATCATAGATGTCAAGCATATTTGCATTAGGTCCCAGCATAGCAGTTTCCAGCTCTCTTATTTTATGCGTCAGGTCGTCGAGGTCATGTGTCAGGTACGAATCATCCTCGGGTGAGCCGTTAACAATTTCAAGAGAATGTTGTGGCCTTAACACATATGACTTCGACACTGGACTGTTGTTGGATGAGAAACTGGGAGCAGATGGAGAATTTTGGCAAGGGAAACTGTTGCTTGTGGAAGCAGATTCAAGGGTGCAATATTGTTCTAAGGTTTGGACAGAGGGGTAGGTGGTTTGGCTGCTGTTATCAGAGGAACAGTAATTGTCTAAGTTCTCACTTGATGGTACGCAATATGACTCCAAATTTTGCACAGGCTCAACATAGAACCCGCCTGAGCCATAAGAAAATTTATGATTCTGAGATGTTTGCATCGAGAACTAGCCAGTTCTTTGCTATACTCAACTCCAAAGGATTTTGACACGCTCACCGCTGAATTGTTGGTTCTACTCTTCAAAGGCGGCTATGGTTATCTATAATTTAATTTCTGCTTGGCAGTAGCAGTGTACTGAAAATTAGTTGTTCTGCAGAAGGTTTAGAAAACATTTTAGACAAATATGATAGTTAACAAAGATACTTGAAACTATCAAAAATGAAAACAAACATGTAGTCTATTGATAGTGGTAATTGGATAAAGGTCTATTTGGATAAACTTTTCTATAAACATTTCTAAGAGAAGAAAATAGGAATTAAAAATGGAAAAAGCTTCTTTATAAGTTAAAACTAGTTTATGCATAAGTTAAAAGTAAGTTTTAGAGAAACTAATATGAAAGAGCTTTTACAAAATAACTTAATGTGTTATTCACATAAACAAGTAAGAATTAAATTTATTTTATTTTTCCTTTCTATTTTTCTATTTTAGAAGTATTTATGGAGAAATTTATTCAAATAAACCCTTAATGCGTTATTCACAGAAACAAGTAAGAATTGAGATGAACTTTTTATCAAAGGATTGCTTACATTTCAAAACCAAAAGAGTAAGCATCTTGACAGCACAACCTATATTTTCCCAGATTCATAATATGCTATTAAAATAAACAGAACGCCATAAGAGATAGTGTATAACTTTCAGTATTCACATATGAAGAATATAATAGCTCTCAACCTCCACACTCAAATGTAATTTTACCAACTGATAAAAAATAAATGCAATTTTACCGGTCTATGTGAATATTTAAATTTATCAGCAGGCCCTTTGATTACTCAAGGCAAATCACCCGTTAGTTTCTGCTTCTGTGCTTTCAAATTTAAGCAATCAAAAAATAAAAAATTAACCAAGATAAAACTATAGACTACATAATGAATTTGGAACACCCACTGCCACTTGAAGCAAGGCCCTTTTCTTTTTCTTATTTATTTATCCTTAATAGAAAAGGTAAAAAAGTTAAGTTATTCAGACATGGCTCCCGCATGCTACACATCGTTTTCAATTACAAGGATATGGAAAAACCACTAAAAGTATGCATTCAAATCCACTATTATTCAAACACACTGTAAAAACACAGATTATAAGCTTTCCCCCAACACCAATTGAAAAGCAAAAAAGAGAAAATTTAAACCAAAAAGAGGTGAAAATCACTTGTCACAGTTAAACATGTCATAACTATCAATTCCAACAACAACCCTTTTCCACAAACTCAATCAGAACAATCAGAGAAAGAAAATAGACATTTTTTCCCCTACGATAATTCAAAAAAGATGGAGCATCTTCATCATCATCAACAACAACAACTTAACAAGCAACAGGAAGCACAGAAACTTCATGATAGCAATCATACAAATCAGGAAAAAGGGAGCAGTTCAATAGCTTCAGAGACTATCTCACCTTAGTAAAAAGCCTGATCTGAAACAAGATCACCCAGAACCAGTGAGGACCCAGTTGGATTTGCAGCTCAAACTGAATGAAAATTTATGATGCACATACATGTGTGTCATATAAAGAGGATTTTTTGGAATTAAAGATTATATTTTGGAACACATGTCAAGTGACATAGGTTGTTGGGTGCTTTGGTCCCCAATGAAGTCTGAGTTGCATTTTTGCCATTTTATATGGACGCCAACATAGAAAGTCTCCTCCTTTTTGTGTCAAATTACCTTTTTGACTCTACCATTGCATTTAATTTACATAGACTTTGATTACATTGTCATATTATCAGTGTCCTGTTTACGATTAAGCTTTAAAACCTTTTTCTTTATTAGGGTTTTTCAATTATTCTGGAATATCTTTGGATATTTGTAATATTGTATTTATTTATATATTAGTTATTTGATCAACGTTTTGAAAGGTTTTGCAACGAAGATGGTGATCGTTACTTGACATTTTAATTAAAGAAAGTTATGATATTCTATCTTTGAAGATAAGAAAGAGACATTCGTTTCTTTTATTTTTATTTTTTGTAATATATTTTAACATCATTGAAGTTATATTTATTCTTATTAAAGGATGCAATTAAGAGTTGTCGACCTAAATATTAAGTGCTTTTAGTATAAGTTTTGTTTTTACACTCTTT